GCACCAAATAAAGGGTGTTGGGTGGATCCTCCCAGGATGGGAGAAGCATGCTGAAAGTAGACTATAGACCAAACATGACTGCCACTCAATGCCTCTTTTGCAAACCACAGCGCCCAAAAGGAGAGCGAGAGCAAAAGGGAATGCCCTGCCACAGAGGCAGGGTGGGATGGGGGGCGGGGATCGGGGGTGGGAGGGATACTGGGATCCGTGGTGGTGGGAAATGGGCACTGGTGAGGGATGGGTACTTGATCATTGTATAATTGAAACTCAAGCACAAAAATTTGTAAGTCTACAACTGTACCTCATGGTGTCTCACTAACAAAAAAATAAAATAAATATTTAAAAAATTTGAGGGCTTTGGGGGGGCTACAGCTGGTAGTGCTTTGGGTTGCTCCTGGCAGTTCTGAGGAAGAGGGGGAGCCATATGGTGTTAGGGATCAGGGATTAAACCTGGGGCTCCTGTATGCAAAGCCTGAACTCTAGCCTTTGAACCCCACATCTTCAGTTTATGTGTATGGGGGGGGGCAGGGTAATTTGCGTGTGGCGTGGCAATTAGGCCACACCCAGCAGACCTCACTCTGGTTCTGAAACAAGGCCAAGAAATGAGCTTGTATAGCTGAGCCAGTGGCGGTTTGTGGGTGTGGCTCCCACATACCTAACATTTGGCCATTTAATTTCTCGGGAAACTTGGTCTCAAGCGTTTAGGGTCTGACCAGACGCACAGCGGCAATTTGGGGGTATCAGGAAGCCTGAAAGCATCATCAGGCTGCTGATCCCCTCACCCCTCAGGTACAGGTTGATTTGCTGGCAGCACCACACCCCCTTACAAAGCTTTATGCAAAATTCCTTCCTGGCCTTCTCATTCCTGCCTGTAGTTTGGCTGTGAAGCACCCAAAATTGAACTTATTATGCAGTTTTAAGCTGGTGTCTTCTACTTTCAGCCTCCATTATCCTGTATCAAGAAAGGATACATACTGAATTAGAAAACAGTATAAAAACAAGTTATGTGGGGACCAGAGAGATAGTATAGGGGTTAAGGTGCTTCTCTTCATGTGGCTGACCTGGCACAGCAAATCATCCACCAAAACTGCCATAGGTCACTCTTAAGAACAGAACCAGAGATGGGATAGGCTGCCTCCCCCCATTTCCCTATACTCCTGGAAGCACTGGCAACCACCCCCACAAACCAACTCCAGTGCCACCATGGAAGCTCTTCTACTGGCCTTGCTTCAGAGACCCATGTATAAATCTCAAAAGAGATCAAAAGCCACAGGTAATCTTGGACCCATGCAAGGCTGAACAGACCTGGGTAAATTGGAGGGGGATGGATCAGCCCGGTACCTACCCAAGAAGAGCTCTCAGCAGCTACTTTCTCCCACAAACCAAAATCGTTGCCATTTCCCTTGCAGGACTCCGTCTCAGGACAGACCTCACCAAGATATAATCTGCTGAAAATTTAGGTATGCGAGTTTTGGACTGAAATCTCCAGGTTTTCTTGGGGTGGGGGTGGAGGGTCAGGATGGGCTACCTCCCCCCACCTCCCTGTACTTCTGGGAGCCTCAGCAGTCACATCCACACCCCAAAGCTGCCACCCAGTTTAGAGAGCTACTGCTGCTTTACCTTTTCGATAAAAATACTGAACACCTTGAACATACACGATGACCTCTTAGTACCTGTATTGCAAACCCACAATGCACAAAAGGAGAGAGAGAAAGAAGAAAAGTGTTTACCATAGAGGCAGGCTGGAGGGGTGTGTGTTAGGGGTGGGTGGGAGGGAAACTGGGAATATTGGTGGTGGGAAATATACACTGGTGGAGGGACGGGGGATGGATCATTGTATGATTGAAACCCAATCATGAACAGCTTTTAAAAAAAATTTTTTTAGTTAAACACAATGAGGTACAGTTGTAGACTTACAAGTTTTTGTGCTTGGGTTTCAGTTATACAATGATCGAGTACCCATCTCTCCACCAGTGCCCATTCTCCACCACCAATGATTCCAGTATCCCTCCTCCCATCCCCCCATTCCACCCCACCTCTGTGGCAGGGCATTCCCTTTTGTTCTCTCTCTCCTTTTGGGTGCTGTGGTTGATTGAGTGGCAATCATGTTCGGTCTATAGTCTACTTTCAACATGCATCTCCCATCCTGTGAGGATCCTCCCAACACCCTTCATTTGGTGCTCCCTTCTCTATCTGAACTGCCTTTTCCCTTAGCATGTGTGGCGGGCCTCCAAGCCATGGAGTGAACCTCCTGGTACTTATCTTGGCTATTCTTGGGTGTTAGTCTCCTATTTTGTTACTTTACAGATGAATCCAATCTTTCTGTATGTGTCCCTCTCTTTCTGACTCATTTCACTTAGCATGAACAGCTTTTTAAGGGTCTATCTCATGGATATTCCAATTTAAAAAATTGAAAAAAAAACTAAACTAGCTTTGCAAAAGTGAAATAATCTAAAGACTATTTGCTCTCTCATGCTGTTCCCTTCCTTACCCTATGCCCACCACACACTGAAAACATTTAAATAACAAAGAGAATTCTATTTGTGGTTTTAAATATGGTTTCGGAGAGCCCGGCAAGCTACCGAGAGTATTCGATATGCCAGACACAGTAAAAACAAAGTCTCCAATGGAGACGTTACTGGGCCCGCTCGAGCAAATCGATGATCAACGGGAGGGTCTTTACTTTACTTTACTTAAATATGGTTATCCAAAATCATGACATTTGAAACTAGGAGAAATATAAAGTCAGTTTTAATGAGCATCAAAAAAGTTCCTCGGGTCCAGAGAGGTAGTACAGCAGATAAGGTGCTTACATCTGACTGATCCAAAACACACCAGGAGTGATCGCGGAGCACAGAGTCAAGAGTAAGCCCTAAGCAGTACCGAGTGTGGCCCCAAAACAAAACAAGTTTCCTTATACTCAGAACCTCTAACACTCTTTCCCCCTCAAACACAAAAAGTAATTGTCTTTTCAAATATCAGATACACTGAATAATTACTAAGGATAATTTCTCCTTTTATCTGTTCACTGGTGGTTTCTTTCCTCCTCTCCTATCAGCTTATTTTCCAGTCATTCTTCACTTCCACAATAATTCCCAGGTCATCTTGCTGTCTTCCAAAGAGAACGTGTAGAGAATGTGTGAGGATTCCAATGGGAACCCAAAATCTTTCAAGCCATTCTCTATGCTTCTTTCTTTCTCTTTCTTTCTTTCTTTCTTTCTTTCTTTTCTTTTCTTTCGTTCTTCTTTTTTTCTGTAGCGGGGGGTTGTCTGCACAGGATGGAGTCCAACCTGGAGTAACATGGGAACAGAACTTTCTGGTTAAGTGTATCTAAAGGTCAACTCCCCTCAAAAGTGGTGCAACCTACCAGTCCCAAATTTCCAGAAATGCTATATTGTGTTCTTTCCAGAAATGCTACATCATGTTCTTTCTAGAAATGCTACATCATGCTAACTGGCTCAACTGGACTTCTAGTGGTTTGAATAAAATTGAGAAGGTCTAATGCTGTGCTGCCAAAAAGTTTTGTCCCTCTACGTTTTTGTATTAAAAGCTCAAAAGGAGGTGGGGGCAGAACAATAGTATATCAGGTAGGACTTTGCCTTAAACTGGCAGACCCAAGTTTCATCCCTGGAATCCCAAATAGTCCTCGGAGTACTACCATTTTTTTATTCCTGAATGCAAAGCCAGGAGTAGCCCTTGAGCATCTCAGGGCGTGGCCCCAAACCAAACAAAATTTGAGAGGAGGGCTAGGTAGAGGGAGATAGCTCAAAGGGCTGGAGCAAGTGCTTTGCATCCAGGAAGCAGGGTTTGATTCCCTGGCACCATATATGGAACCTGGGGGCACCACTAGGAATGGTTCCTGGGCATCCCTGGTTGTGACCCAAAACAAAACTGAAAGTTTAAGAGGAGTGTGAGTACCCGAATTGGATTTCCTCTCCCAACACACACACAGACACACACAAGTACACACAAAATCTTGTTAACAAAGGTGAATGATGGGGTGATGGGGGTCGGGTGGGGGGGGGAGTATAAGCTAGACTTTGGAATTCCGTGAATTTATCGCTGGTCCTCCTTCCCACTCCCTGCTGTGCACAAAAGCAACAGCTACCTGCATCTCTGTGGTCGGCGTCTGTAAATCTGGGTCTTCGTGCTTCTTCAAATCTTAAGAAACGGTATTGGGGTGGTGTTGGTAGGGGGAGTGGGAGGTCTGAAGGTAACCCATGCGTTCCGAAACCTGGGCGAGAGGAAATGCCACGGTCGGCGAGGATGCACGCCGTGCTCGGTGGGTCGGGCTGGGGACCGCTGGGCTTTTGCCCTTGACCGCGAGCAAGGAGCCCAGGGTCTTAGCGGAGAGCAAGAGCCGGCAGCGGCCGCGGGCGGCTGAGGCTGCAGCTCCCGCCCCACATGACATCACCGGCGAGCTCGGGCCGCTGCGGTGGGGGGACGAGGTTCCACCAGGGACTTCGCCCCGCACGGAGGAATGGGGACCACGTAACTACGAGGATGGGGTGGGGGTAGAGAACGGGGTGTGCGTTGGGGGTAGAGAACGGGGTGGCAGGAAGAGAGCAAGCAGGACCGGGCTCCCCCACCCAGCTCCCCGCGCTCCCGCGTGTGTGCGCGCCCGTGCGCGCACGCGCGCGCGCGTTGCCTCCGCGGCACATCCTTCAGCGGCCGCACCCCAAATCCCGTGCGGGCACTGCGCCCCCACTCCAGCTCCCCGCGCCACTCGCCAATTCCAGTCCGACCCAAAGTGCTCTCTCCCCAGGGGGCCAGGCGCGGGCCGCCCCGGAGTGGCCGCGGAGGGCCGGGACTGGGCGAGAGGGTGGACGGGGAGGGGACAGAAGCTGCGAGCCGCGCCTCGGGGTGGCGGGGGCGGGGAGGGGGGGTGGAAGCGGGGCGTCCTGGAGGCGGTCGCCGCGGCGGCGCCCCCACCCGGCCCCGGCCAGCGCCGCCGCCCCCGCCTGGCGACGAGCAGCCCGAGCGGGGGAGAGGGGGGGCGGGAGGCAGAAGCGCCTCCTCCCCGCCCCGCGCCGAGGCGGCGGCGGCGCCGGGGGAGGACGGCGCCTCACCTTGCCCCCCGATGAGGGGCGGATCATGCCATGGCAGCGCCGGCGAGCGACAGCGGCAGCGGCGGGGGCGGCGGCGAGAGGAGCCCCGGCAGCAGCCCCGGGAGCGCCAGGGCCAGCGGGGGCGCGGCGGCCGCGGCGGCCGCGGCGACGGCCACCGCGGCGGCGGCGGCGGCGGCGGCGTTGGCAGCGGCGGCGACCCGGGCCGACGGGGCCGGGGGCGGCGGCGGCGGCCGGAGCGCCGCGGTGGCCGTGGCCGTGCTCCCGCCGCTGGACGACTACGAGTGTAAAATCTGCTACAACTACTTCGACGGCGACCGGCGCGCGCCCAAGCTGCTGGCGTGCCTGCACACCTTCTGCCAGGAGTGCCTGAGTCAGCTGCAGCTCCGCGCCGCCGCCAACGCCGCGGCCAACGCCACCAACGCCACCAACGCCGCCAACGCCCCGGAGCGCGCGCTGCGCCCCGCGCCCTGGCACGGGCCGCCCGGAGCGATCGCGTGCCCCGTGTGCCGCCACCGCACGCCGCTGCCCGACAGTCGCGTGCAGGGGCTGCCCAACAACACCAAGCTCGCCGAGGCCTTCCCGCTCGCCCTGCGCGCCGCGCACGACCCGTTGCCCCAGGACCGTCTCCCGCCGCTGCCCTCGCGCCGCTCCGCGCCCGCCCCCGCGCCCAGCGCCGCCGTCGGCGTCCCGCCGTCCGCCGCCGCCGCCACCGCCGCTGCCCCGCAGCCCGCTGTCGACGGCGCCCCCCGCGGACCCCGCGCCCGGCCGGGCTGGCGCGCCCCGGGCAACTACGAGAGCTGCCAGAACTGCAAGCGCGCCGCGCTCACCGCGGGCTGCGTGTGCGTGGTCTTCTCCTTCCTGTCCATGGTGGTGCTGCTCTTCACCGGCCTCATCTTCGTCAACCACTACGGCGGTGGGGGCGGCAGTGGTGCCGGGGCTGGCGGTGGGGGATCTCCCGGAGGCGGGGCGACCCCCGGCGGCGCATCGGCGGCGCCTTCGCCGGTCGGGCCCATCTGCTTGTCGGTGGCTAGCATCCTGGCGCTCTTCTCCGTCGTGGTCACTTGGGTCATCTGCTGGCTCAAGTACCGGCCCGAGGGCGCGGCCGCGGGCTCGGCGGGAGGAGGCGCGGGCGGTGGCCCGAGGGCGCGGGCGGCGGCGGGCGGCGCGCGGAGAAACGACACGTAGCCGGACCCTCCCCACCTGCCCGGTTAGCCCGGGGAGGCCCTGGAGAAGAAGGTCTTTGGCAGCCCCGGTCCCCGCCCTCGAGCTTGCTCGCCCGCGGCCCTGCGGCCCCCCAAGACGCGCACCTCTCCGCACCCCGCCACTGCGGGGGGTGGGGGAGGCCCTGGGCTTGCGCCTCGTCTCTCCGCGCCCCGCCTCCTTCCTGCGCGCGGGGACCTCGGGGACTCCCAGGAGGCGGGGATGCTGGGCTCGGGCCCACGGCTCGGGACCGTCCAAGGTCACTCCCTGCTTTCCGCACCTCCCTCATCCTAGCCCGGGCGCCCAGCCGTCCCTCCTAGAGGCCGAGGGTTTGAGAAGAGGAGGGATGACGACGACTGGGTCTCCAAGCCCTCCCGAAAGCCGGTCCTTCTGTCCGCCGAGACTCTCTAGTGGCTTTTAGGGGATCGGTGTGTGTGCGCGCGCGCGTCTGCAGCCTCGGTGAAAGAACTTCAGTGGTCCAGAGTGGCAATGAATGCGATGTAAATGGGAACCCAGGGACTTGCGGCTCCCCGTTGTTCCAGAAAACGGCAGGAGAGCTCAGCGCCGGGACCCTCTCTTGAATCCTCTCCCCACTCCTTCTGGGGGGGCGGGGGGGCGTCACCCGTGCCTGCTGCCCGCCTCAGTGCGCGACGGGGCAGGTGTGTGTCCGAGTTCAGACAGCGGCCAGAGCGGCTGAGCAGTACCCCGGGTCCATCCTGCTTCCTGAGACTCGCCAGAGACCTGGATGGCCAGTATTTGGAAGCCGATGGGAGTTTTATCCACCTTGTTAGTGCCAGGAGGTCATTCTTCTCCTACAACTGGACTCAGGGAGCGTCGAGGGCCGGTTTCCCTTCTCTTCTCAAAACTGACTTACTGTTGCCCCCACCTGGAAGCTATTGAAAGCTATTCGCGCCGAATATTAAACTGTAGGCTTCCCCAGCCTTTGGTCTTAATTTCATTTTTGAAAATAATTTATTTTAGAGTATATTCATCTGGAAATGTGGTGCAATACAGTTGCCAGGAGAACTGTTTGATAAGTAGTATTTCTCCCTCACCTCCAGACCAAATGCATTCTGAAATTATGAGCTGAAAACAAAGGCGTGTGGGTAATTGGTTCAAGATTTTGTACTGTGAAAGAACGGGGACTTTCAGTTACAAATTAAAAGTAGTGACCAAAGATGAAACTGACAGGTCTTAAGCTGACAAACATTTCTTCTACAAATACATATTATGATGAATGAATAAATGTGATATATAAAAGAAGCCATTTTGAGTTCAACAGTCATTATTAGAAATTACTGAAATACGTCTGGTTACATTAGATGTAAAATGCACATCAGTCTGACTTTGTAACTGAAAAGATAAATTGTGATTATCTGTTGCAGATGGATTTGATGCCTTTTTAATAAAAAACCAACTATACCAAATGCATTTTATATGAAAACATTCTTTATTCCATTTTTTTTGAAATTTGGAATAAGACAACGTTTTCATGCCTAAAAGTCACAGAAGCTACTGAGGGTATGCTGTTATTCCTCGTGTATTTATGCAAGCTGTCTGCATGAGATCCTGACACTCTATTAACTAGAATGAAGCATTTGTATCTATCACAGTGAAGTAATTGATCGGTCCTTGATAAGTAGTGTGGCTGCAATTTGGAAATTGCACAAAATAATGTGTTTTATGTCAGCATTGTCTTAATAAACAACAAGAAGCATTTCTAGAAACAGCTATGTTCATGAAATTTTTATTTCATGGGGAAATTAAGCTATTGTATGGCGTTTCTCTTCCTGAAATATGAACTTCTATCTAAAGACAAAGCTTACACTTTGAATGGGACTGAGAGTTATTCATAGGATCACATTTACAGGTTGTCATATCATTGGGTTATTTCTAGGACTTCCTGAAGGCCCAGAACTGTTGTTTTCTGGGAGTTTGTTTATTAGGTTGATTTGAGGGGGTCATATCCAGAGAGGCTCAGAGGGTGCTCCCAGTTCTGGCTCATCTCTGGGGGGAGGGGAGAGAGCCACAACCACGGGTACCAGGAATTGAACCAACTTTTCCTGCAGGCAAAGTAAGTGCCTAGTCCATTGAGCCATATCTTCATCCTGTTGAGTTCTAGAGGGAGCAGGTAACCAACCCATAACATCCACTAAAACTAAACTCTGTTTTCAGTCTTTGTTCTCAATTTCTCCCAAAGCTTTTCAGGATCCTAATGTTATTAATCATGTTGCAGAAGTTGCCTTTAATTAATTTACCCCACGAATGAGGAATTTGTATGGCTTTACATTCATTTGTATCATTTACTCTTTATTTAACTCTAGTGCTGAGATTTTGTATGCTTTCAGCATTGTTTGACCAAGTTCATTCACACATGTGTATGTGTGTGTGTGTGTGTAGCTGTGTATATCTATGTGTGTATATATACATATATATGTAACAACTTGGCTTTGTAGATGCAACCATGTGTACATATGTGCATACACATGTGTTTGTTATTTCACTCCCTTAAATCGGCAACCCAGAAGCCTGTCTAAAGTTACTATGGGACCCGCTTGCTTCTTACAGATTTTATTTATAATCTGCAGAGGAAAATACACCAATGGCCTAAACTAAATTTCACACAAATGAGAAAGATGTCTTTGAATTGTCCTATTCCCCAGACAAATCACATTTTGCTTCTTTTGTGGAGTGCATATGTAAATTTATCCTGATGAGCAATTTGAGTTTGAATTTTTTTTAATTTTTAAAAAATTTTTTGAAGAGTTTGAATATTTTTAACTTAAAAAAATACAATTAGTAACTCAGTACCTAAATATGGAGAGGTTTTCTTTTTTTGTCTTTTCTTGAATAACTTTGTTTTTATTGCTAAGTCTGACTTCCTTATCAGAAACTGAGTGACGAGGACATGTGGTGGAAAACATTTGTCCAGATTTCTAGTAACTTTCTGCGTTCAGGTGACTTTCGTCCTCAGTGTCCTGCAGATGTGATGCAATCATTCCTAACTGAGAGGAAGTCATGCCAGCACCTAGATAAAGCAGAGTTTTAGGACCTTATTGCTGACATGATAGTGAGTGATCTGGAGGATGATGAAGCACATTTTTTTCTCCTGGAAAGTTTTGTCTTCCTAAAGGTGTTCAGTTCAAAGCCAAATCTGTCTTGAGCTCCTGAGTGTGAACTAATATTGAAATCATTGCATACAAGCAGATCTGGCTCTCACACCTGCTCAAGCTGGCAGTGCCAATCCTTCTGCCCAGGTTCTGGGGCTCCATCGTCATTATCAATGCCAGTCTAGAGTATAATTTTCAAGGGCAAGATACCCCTTCTGCAGGTGATAGATTTGATACTCCCATCTCTGAATACAATATGATTTTGCAAGCAGTGTCCACATCCAGAAAATATATTGCTTTGAGGTCTGGAATATCTGTATCCAGGAATGGGGAGTCTGAAGACCAACTCTCTCCTTTCTTGGAAAAAAAGTCTTTCCAAGTCTTGGCAAGTCTTCTAACTTCTTTGAGCCCCTGGCTCCTCATTTATAAAGACGGAAGAAAGGGTATCAGTCTGCATACCTTAGGAGGTTTATGTGAGGATTTGTACACAGACCAGAATCAAGGGGAGGATGATTGGGCATTAGTTTTAATGCCATATGTGAATCAATGACCTTGTCTCCAGTTCTCGAAAGGTCTGAAAAGCATCTCCCCAGAGAAGAAGTCATCCTGACTATTGTATTTCAAGGGATTGTTGAAAATTTATTTTTCCCTGATACTTTTTATCCTCTGCAGTGGCCTTAGTTATTATGTTTTCCTTCTCAATCTCCAGTGAAGCAAGAAACTTCATCTCTAAGACCCTAACCAATTTTTTGATGCTGTGAGTGGTCAATAAGTTAATTGGGTAACTGGGTGGGAAACTTTGGGATTGAACATGAAGTAACTTGGTTCTCCAACTGTACAGCATCATACAAAAATTTCTGAGACCCTAGGGGACTTAAACAGTTGCTTTTCCTGCTTGACTTTTAAAGCACTTTTAAAAGATTAAGAAAATAGACTGAAAAGCACGTTGAGTTTTGAGAAAAATCAGTTCAATCACACAGAAACTCTCACTGCATTCTATTTAGTGACAAGGACGACTGGAGAGAGAGTGGAGGGAGGCATGTGTGCTCCATTTCCTGTCATTTTCTGCATTGTGAGATTTCAAGGCCTGACTCCTTTTGGCTCCCAGCCTTCATGAATATGCTTGAACACCCCCCCCCCAAAGCTAGCATCATCTGCAGAGTTGGGACTGGTTTACACTGCAGTGAAATCTCCCACCGCATTAAGACCAAGATCTGTTGAACTAACTTCTCACTAATTGTCATTTTTTTCCTCTTCTCAATTCTCCAGAGTTTACCATTTTAAATCTAGTAATCTTCAGTGACTTGCTAACATTGTAATCTTAATAACTGAGAAATTCCTCCAGATTCTTCCATATTCAAATTCGATATCATTTATTTCACATTAGCTTGTATTTGTATTTTAACTTTCAGCTCTGATATAAAGGTTGTCAAATGCATGTCTTGGACAAAAATAATTGTATCCCTACTAAGTGTGTATTTATGTTCCCTCCTTTATACAGGTTTTTTTTTATTGCCTATGTTGAAGTTTGCCTTTGAGGAATATATGTTTGCTACAGCTTTTCTAGATCAGTGTTAGAAATGACTGCAGTCAGACCTTAGTTAACCCAAAGTTATGTGCATGGATAAAGAGTGGAGAGAGATTTTATCATCTTTTGCTTGATGTCTTTTGATTGCCCATATGAGAAAAGCTTTGTAATATAAACCACCAGCCTTGTTTCTATTCCTCGGTCAATCTTAAGGCTTCAGCTCTCCAGTGCAAAACTAAAACATTCAGAGAGATGCAAGCCTGTTTCTGCAATAAGTTTACAATCATTTCTGATTATAAAATGCATTCAGGGAAGAGTTCTCGATGTCCAATTTCCAAGAATATTCCTAGGAGC